AAAACAAAATTCTCAAATTTGTATTCAATTTTCAGGTATTATATAACCCCTTTAAAATTAACTAAAGTGCTGAGTATTCTGTGGAGGAAAAAAATTATCTTGTGCTCACATTTGAAGGTTTCTCTCAGAAGTAAACCACTGAAAGAATCCACAGTATTGCTTTAAATTTTTTCCATTGGGGAGGGGGGGTGTGAAGGAGGTGTTTATCATCTTTCAAATTCAGTCACTTGTCCTGAAATGGATTGGATAGTTAGATGATAACATTAAAATAGGTCTCTCTAAGCTATAGAAAACAAGATTCTTAAATTTTTGACAAGGAGATATGGAACAAAAAATAAAGCAAGTCATACACTAAATAATGTTAAAAATCCTGCTGTTACTTTAAAAATATTTTACTACTGGGAATTCCCTGATGGTCGAGTGGTTAGGACTCGGTGCTTTCACTTCTGTGGGACCAGGTTCAATCCCTGGTCAGGGAACTAAGATTCCACAAGATGTGTGGTGCGGCCAAAAAAAATTTTTTTTTATTACTAAGGGAAAATAGGGCAAAAGTATTAAAACCAACTCTTTCCCCCTGCATCGGCAGGCGGACTCTCAACCACTGCGCCACCAGGGAGGCCCTATGTGACTGTTTTTACTTCCTTTGAAGCTTCCTACAAGAAATGAACCATTTATATGAGTTTTTATAAACTCTTAGCTAAAGACTTGTTCACATATTCTCAGAAAGGAATAATCAAAGGCTGGCACTAGAAATTGACAAAAAAAATTTAGTTTAGATCTCTTAATAATTTAAAGAGCAATCTAAATTATAGAATTTATATAGAGTTCATCTCTGCAGGCCCTGAAGAGCTTGACCCTACCACTAATGCCCTCTCTTGGGTACACGTGTTTCAAATCTAAACCCAATCACTTCATTCCTTCCTGTTTAGACTGTTAGTTCGTGTAGTTATTACAATGGTTTAAACCTGTACCTTAAACTTTGTGTTACTAAGTATTCAAAATACCTTTGGGGTTAGGATGAGTAATTACAGTTCACTCCTACAAAACTTAACTCTCCTTGATTCCTGAGGAGAGAAATAATTTCATTTTCCTGATTTGGCTTTAACTTCCAATTATTATTTATATAAGACCCATCCACTTGCAGAGCTATTTTCTTTGCACTATAATTATTTTCTTCTGGTCCCAGGAGACAGAAAGTGGCTCAAGTTTATTGTATCCCAGATCTAACAACTTAATATAAGTAACAAACACTATACCTTATTGTATGTCTAATATAAGAAGAGGGTAAACATATCTCTATGTTTATCAATAGACTATTAACAGAAAATATTAACGAATATATTTGGGATAGTTTTCTTTTCAAAAAGCTTATGCTTCAAATAGAAGTGACAAGTGGGAAAGAATGAGTAGGTTGCAGAATTTTCAAAAGCCTAAAACCAAGATCCAGGAATCTTTAGCAGAGGTAGGATGTGCCTATTTTCAGCACAGCCCGACCTGCACCGCTTTGCAACTAACCAAGGAAAGCCTGAGTGGCGAGACAATACTACCCTCTAGGGGCAACATTTTTACTTTCACAACTTCCACAGCAAAGGATCAATCAAAAGGTAAGAAGCCACACACAGGTGGCCCAGTGGTTGGGAATCCGCCTGCCAATGCAGGGGACACGGATTCGAGCCCTGGTCCGGGAAGATCCCACATGTCGTGGAGCAACCGTGTGCCACAGCTGCCACGGGCTGTGTTCCACAACTGCTGAGCCTGTGAGCCACAACTGAGCCCACATGCCACAGCTGGTGAGGCCCGTGTGCCTGGAGCCCGTGCTCCGCAACAGAAGAGGCCACCGCAATGAGAGGCCCGTGCACTGCAATGAAGAGTGGACCCCGCTCACCGCAACTAGAGAAAGCCCGCGCGCAGCAACAGAGACCCAACACAGCCAAAAATAAATAAATAAATTTATTTAAAAAAAAAAAAGCCATACACGGTATAGCTCCATAGCTCCGCTGTGACTGCACAGTAGATATTAGTAGCTATTGTTGTTAGCATTTATGCTTTCAAAGAAGTAACTTAAGCACACTGTCAACTGGCTAATTATTCAAGGTTATTTACAATCCTTTCTTTTCCTGTTTTGTTCTGTTAGAATTTACATGATTGACTACAGAAGTTGGGATAAGACACCTGACTATTTTTTTAAAAAAATAATTCTAATAAAAAGGGTGGAGATAAAAATTGGAATTAATTTCAAGCAAGATACTTAGGGCTCATAGACGGATACTTACTTGGATTCTTGTTACAGGCTTACTTTTCCAATTATTTTTTCCTAATTTTGGGAAAAAGTCCAGTGACAGAGATTCCCAATCCCTCAGACATATGAGCTGCCCACCTATTTAGTTAATCTTATTGGATAGAAATTAACTTATACAATTTATAAAACAGGGAATTAACTTATTATAAATCAAATACTAACTGTAGAACTTTTAGGTTTCCTCTGCCCCCTGCCCTCCCCTAGCTGAATATGTTAGCAAATATGCTTCACTACTATTTACTATGTGTATCCTAACAGCTTATATCTGGGATTGTTGTTTTACTGGGTTTCTGCATTTTCTCCACCCTTCATCCCAGATTAATCTGTTCATTTGTTGACACCTGTCATGTTCTAGAAAATGAGATCAAAGACTGATAGCTGCATGTTCTCCTGTCTTAAAATGTTAAGGAAATGGTTTGTTGGAAGCACTGTTACTTCTTAGTTGTATATATTGAGCTGTCATTGACCTTTAGGCCAAAATGCCACACTTAACTGCCCTACTTTATAAAGACTTAGTAGTAATATCAGTAGTCCGTAGTAAAGCTGACTTTCTGTATTACATATATATAATAGTTTCCTATATTTTATTTTATTAAACATTTTCCAGCTTTATTGAGATATAATTGACATATAACATTGTGTAAATTTAATATGATGATTTGATACATGTATATATTGGGAATTGTTTCCACAGTAAGGTTAGTTAACACCTCCATCACTGCACATAATTATTTGTGTATGTGTGTATGTGGTGAGAATATTTAAGCTCTACTCTCTGAGCAACTTTGAAGTATATAATACAGTACTGTTAACTATAGTCACCATGCTGAATATTAGTGCCCCAGAACTTATAACTGGAAATTTGTACCATTTAACCAACACCTCCCCATTTCCTAGTTTACTATATTTAAAGTGTGAGTTTTGTTTTAGTTGGGGGTTAATTTTTTCTCTAATTTTATATTGAAGTGAGAAACAGAAGAACATAATGAAATCACTACACAGACAACAGACAAAAGTTTTATTTTAAAAATTTACAGTTTAGTATAATGTAATTCCATACACAGAAATATACAAAAAATACATACGACTAAAATTGTATTTTAAACAGAAAACCATAAATGATATTTCATGGTTTAATTTGTGACTAGTTTTTGCTATGAGCCAAAAGGCTATCTCCAAACAATAAAGCAACTAAGTGAAGAGCTCAGGTGTTATTCTTGATGGTATCATTCTTGATGGCCCTGGATAAAACTAGATTACCATAAATTGATAGTACATAAATTGAATAAATAATTAAACATTAAACTAGAATTCAGAAAAGACAAGATTAAATACCAAAAGGAATAGAAATAAAAACTATCAGAGCAAGAAATGAAAAAAACATGAAGAGAAAAACAAGTAAGATCATGCCCTCATAGCAACTATGAGAGGCAGATGCAGCAGGATTGACAGCTTATGGAGCACAGAGAAGAAAAAATCCCAAGAGACAATGAGAAAGTATCCTAAATTAGGAGAAGGTGGAAAGAGCGAAAGAGTGAGTAAACGGAGAGTAAACGCAGGTCCCTGAGTGGAAGGGATAAGAGACTGAAATACTGCCCACTCCCCCTTGACAGGATTATCCAGAAAGTCTATGTATCAGTTGTAGGTATTTGATTCCAATATCATTGTGTTTTAAAAAAATTATCCTTCTTACATTGCTAGTACAAACACTTAATTTTTCTCTCAGTATCAGCATTTCAATATGTGTGTAAGAAGTTGAAGATTTCTTTTGATAAATACTCAGCTCTACAATGACGTTCAAATTCAACTGGTCTTTCCTAAGCTACCTGAACTAAGTTTAAGATCAACTTCAATGTGGGTCTGTCATCACAGACACGGCTGAGGCCACAAGAACCATTCAAATTCACTCTGACATAGACTCTACAAGAAAACAGGTCTGCAACATTGCAATATTAATAAATATTAATAACAACAATATAGCAATAATCAATATAATTTATAACTTCTATATTAATCATTAATGTATAGAATTTGTCAGTTAATTAACGATTCTTATTTTGGATATTCCTCTAATAAACACGTTTCTTAACCTCTCTAAGCCTAAATTACCTTATCTGTAAAAGTAAGATACTAATGGAACCCATCCTAGAGTTGCTGGGAAGATTAAACGGGATGATGCACTCTAGCCTGGCTACAGTAAACACTTTTTTCAGGTAAACGATCAGTAATTGCTAGTACTGACATTTTCTAACACCCATATTTTGGGGCATATGCAACGCTCAAAAGAGGGAAAAGAACAGAGAGCTAGTATTAAATACTTCTTCTCTATCAGACATTTTAGTAATATGTAAAACTCTCGCGATTGTGCCCAGAGCCGCGCACACTTTCGGTTTCCGGCCGGGGCGCGAGATGTCTCCCGCCCTCTCCCGGCCACAGCCGCCGCGCAGTAGTCCTGCCCTGCGCGTTCCTCTCCTCGCCTCCCCACGGAGCCCGGAGCCGCCTGTGGGCGGAATGCGGCGCTGCGCCGGACCGCTACCCGGCAGCCCACTGGGCCTAACGGCACGTGACTCCCGCCGCCTGCGCCGCCGCCGCGGGCGCTGGGAAGGCCAGCGGCGACGGTGTCGCAAAAGCGTCGCGACGGCGTCCGTTCTTGGCGGCCCAGGCCACTGGTATAACTGAACGTGCTGAGGCTTGAGAACCAGTATGGAGGCTGTCGAGGTTCTCCGAAATTGCTGGGGTTCGATGGGGAAGCTACTCGCCGGTGCCCCGGGCTGCTGAGCTCTTGCCGCCTGCGTCCCCGCGGCTCTCCCGCAGGGCCATGATGGCCTCGCGGGTGGCGCGCACCTCGTGGGGTGCCTTGCGCGTAGCCGTGTGGGCGCCGGGAGCGCGGCCGGGCAAGGGGCGCGCCCGCGGGGCCTTGCTGCCGCCAGTGCCTTGCTGCCTGGGGTGCCTGGCGGAGCGCTGGTGGCTGCGCCCGGCTGCGCTCGGCTTGCGGCTGCCTGGGGCCAGCCCGCGGGCCCACTGCTCGGGCGCGGGGAAGGCAGCCCCCGGGCCCGCAGTGCAAGAGGACGCCGCCACCGAGGCCCGGGGCGGCCGGTGGGGCCCGGCGAGTGCCGCCAGCCTGGCCCGGGGCGGCCGGTGGGGCCCGGCGAGCGCCGCCAGCCTGGTACGTACAGAGAAGGAGGCGGAGGGGCGACTCTGGGTCGGGCTCGACTGCTCCGGCGGCGCTCGGTCCCGGACGCAAATAACGTGCCGTGGCCGGTGAGGTCCGATGCTTCCGTTTCAGAGCTTTTAAAGCGTTCCCCGAAGAGAAGTTATGGGCAGATCATTCGGTCGGGGTGAATGTCAGGGGTACCAGCCGCGTCCTCCTGTCTCGGTGGTCAAGTTAGAGCCCTCTCCTTCCCGTCTATCCGCACCGGTAGCTGGACGCGCCTCTGGATATTGCATTGGTAAAAATAGCCTTCACCTGTTTTATTAAAAGCCCATTTAAAATTTTTTGAAGCAAATCCCCAGTGTTTAGGGCAAGTCTCTGGGCGTCTTCAGAATGATATACAGGCCTTTCTGTTTGCTTGTGCACGTTTGGTAAACTATCATTTGACCTTTGGTGACTTTACATATTGTAGGATGAAGGATAGCTAAGTAATTTAAATCGTAATTAAAAGATCCTTTAACCTTTAATTATAGGAAAAGATTAAACCTCTTTTTCTGCTTACCTGTTGAAATACTGACCAAACAGAAGACATGAGAGCATGAGTGTGGGAGAGCTTTTGATGTCATGTAGCAAGACTCATGCAATTATTACATCTTCAATTGTTATGTCTTCAGTGGGCCCCTGTGCTGCTTTCATCAGTTATACAGCATGGGTTGGGGTGGCCACATCCTGGCAGGAGTCTCAGCCACATTGATAGCTAGAGCATGTTGGGGTTTGAATGAATGCTGGATGCTTTGAGGTTGCCATATCCTGGCTGAAGTCCTTCCCAGAACGGCAGTAGTTGGTCGAGTATGCCACAGGTTATATGGTTGGGTAATCTGAGATTAGCTCTCTTAATTTTTAACTTAGAAACGTTTACGAATTTAATGATTAGAAATTGAGGTATTTTATTTTAACTGAAATATTTTATGTGGAGCTAAAAGGAATCCCTTTCATTGTTCTAAGAACATTCAGTCTGGTTTATTAGTTCACCAAATGAAATGATTTGGCTGTTTACAACTGTGTCTTTAATTTTTCCCCATGGGCCTCTCTGAGTTTAATTTTGGGCCTCTGTATTCTGACTTTTTGCTTTGTTTTTCCTTCCTCTCAATCATGAACTATACCTCCCCACCCACCTCAATGAGTCACTGTAATGCTGGATCAGTATTTGACTTACTCTGTATTGCAGTATGGTCAACAGACTTTTTTTTTCTCTGGACTCTGAAACACTTGGACCTTTGAACTTGAATTTGGAATATGTTCCAAGAATGTTTCCATTTAATTAATATAATGTGGATTAGTTCAACAGAAGGTCCTTGAGTAGAGGTTTGGAGTGCTGCTTGTTTGGTGATTGTTTCCTGGAGAATTTGAATTTTTCTGTATCTTTAATGACAGTATTCTGCCACTGGGCCCCAATAACTCCATTATTCCTTCAAACTGAGGTGAACATTTCTTGCTGGATTCTGTTTATAAACACAAACTTAGTGTCTTTAGAGAACTGGCTTTTCTTACAGAATGGTTGAAGGTATTTTAAAAGAGGTATTTAGAAGTGGAAATTGTCACTTTTTTAAAAAGTCAAAATTAAGGTTCAGGCAAATAGGTTACTGATTGATAAAGAGGTTAAGTAGGGTTATCTTGTGAGGAGATAGTCCCATGGGGTAGAGCTGGCAGTCTTGATTCAGTGGAGAAAAAAAATCCAGCCTTTAGGGAATGACATTTTCTTTGTATTATTTCTGTACCCTGTTCTGTGCAGTGTATCTTAGTTCCACTAGGCTGAGGCTTTTTAAAGTTGAAATACCCTATCATGAAACAGACTTCAAGCACCTTGGCTCCAAATGAAGTTTCAAGGAATCATAAAGCCCCCACAGGGGAGCTGTGAAAGCCCTCAGCTTCTGGTTGGGGATCTTAACATTTCTGTGGCTATTTTGAACAAATTTACAAAATCTCTTTATTTCCTAAGTGTCTCAATACCTTTTCCTTGTTCCATTTTCTTCTAGCAGTTCTCCAGTTTAGTGATGAGGTTATGGAATTAAATGTTTTATTCCTCTTCATTCGTATCTCCAACACTGTGTATGGCATTTAGCATTCTTTTGATGGGTATGTGTAGAGGAGTGAGGAGAGGTTATTTTGCAATAAATGTCTTTTAGCCAAAATGCCCATGGTTGATAATTCGGCTTTTTTCTGACACTTTCTAGACCGTTTGTCTACTTGAGGTATAAGATCTTCCTGAAGATCTTTTTTTTAATTTTGTATAATGGGAAAGTAATTCTTTTTTAAAAAATTTTTTTATTGAATATAGTTGATTTACAATGTTGAATTTTCACTTTTAAAAGCAGTATGTTTTTAGTTTTGAATTCTGATGGTGAAGTAATACATTAAAGGCTTGACTTATATGATAGATAATACATGTTTATTCCTTCTCTCTTTAGTGAGAAAACCTACTCTATATACAGCCAACATTTTAGTCTGTTTCGGTATATGACATATCTTCATCTTCTGCATTCTTAACAGTTTTAGATGTGTGTAAAAATAACAGAATGGATTTTAAAACTGAAAGTACTAATTTTAAGGTTTATATAGCTTCTAACCTTTAAGTTGATGCAGTGTATTTCTTCAATGTATATAGTTATTTAAAGTATGAATTTATAGTATTTAAATTTTGTTGTCTTTATGTTTCAGTATGAAAATCCATGGACAATCCCAAATATGTTGTCAGTGACGAGAATTGGCTTGGCCCCAGTTTTGGGCTATTTGATTATTGAAGAAGATTTTAATATTGCACTAGGAGTTTTTGCTTTAGCTGGGCTAACTGATTTGGTAAGTTGTACCGGCACTCCCCCTGTTTTGCTCCCCTTCTAAATCCCAGGGTCTCTACTACACTGAAATAGCACAGACTCAGTCTGTTTTTCTTTGGAAGGAAATCCTCAAGATGAATTTCACCTAGTACTTTGTGTAAAGTGACATCTATGTGGGACTCTGTTATTCTTTATATGATCTAAGGAAGGAAGTAGAGGTTGTAGGGAGGCATGGGAGAGGGAGCTCTTTACTCTTGGTTTTTAATTTCTTCATAGAAGAAAAAACCTTAGAAATTCTCAAAGGGCCAAGTACTTGCTTTAGGGATAGAAATAAAGGAGAGAAGCTGTGAGACTTTTTTTCTACTTATATAGTAGAGAAAAATATCTGATCTGCAACAACAGTTGGTTTTACTGGTGGAGAGGGAAACAGTGGGCCAGTTGTTGTGACCAGGGAGCTTGCAGAGGCCAGATCTCTGCTCAGGTTTATGCTGGCAGGAGGCCATAGGCACCCCACAGATTTGGTCCTTGATTCCTTCTCTACACCCCTCTGACCACCTTCCAGAAGACCCTGCCCTAGGTAGGCATTAGACATCCTTCCTTCTACCACTGTCCCAGCAGATGGACCAAGGAGAAAAGAGCACCTTGACACCACTGTGTCAGTTTATAGGGAGGGAAAGATTTATTCAGGTTATCTCCAATTAGAACTTGGAAAATAATTTTCTAACAGAAAGCCTCACAATGTGTTATATAGGCTTTTGTGGACTGGCCAGTCATCATCATGTATGACATTATTTGTATTTATCACCCACCCTGTTGCATAAAGGATTTGAAATGGCTTGTAAAATTATATGTCCTGCAAAAACACAATTGAAGGAAGTGGGGAAAAGGTAGAGGAAAGATTTTAAATCAGGACAAAAGCATGTAGAAATAGACATTATGTATATAAATTGTATATTCTTGTACAAGGCTGGTCTGAGATCCAAGTGAGTACCCAGACAGGCAATAATAATTTGGTGCCTCTTTAAACTGATGTGTATTTGAAAAGCTTTGCTCAGTACTCAGTGAGAATAAAGAGAAACTAATTTTCTGTTAATGAAAGTCGCATAGCATCTTTCTTTGTAACATCAGCTATTCCCTTTGAGGTTCATAGAAACAAAATTACACCTGCCCAGTAGCATTGTTGAGCAATACAGAGTTAGCTGAAGATTTGCAGAATAAATAATGAGGACATTTGCACTGTTATATGGCATTTCCAAATATGCATCAAATACAGTTTCTTGAAGTGGTTACCGCCTCTTTTTCCCGAGTTTAGCTCCTGTTTGTCACAACTTCTCCTCATTCTCACAATCTCTTCTTTTGTCCCTGCTTTTATCTGTGAAGCCTGAAGCCCTCCACTTATTAATATAGTCTCCAAGTCTGTCAAAAGCCATTATATTGATAATGGAATTTTTTTTTCATAGTAGGCAAGATCTTTTTCAGTTACTGGATTTGCTCTTTTTTGGTTTGTAGGTTTTTTTAGTTGCCACATGAGATTGCAATATTCATCGAATGGGAGAGGTCTCATTTACACTTTTCTAAATATGTAAGACAATGTGTACAGAAACCTGAGTTAACTGGCATCATATTACATTTACTTCATGTAGGTTTTGATGCCTCTAGAATGGCTGCTGGGCAGATGGCTGGACTCATGGAGGGTTTAAGTAGGGGAATGTTGTATATGGGAAATGGATTACAGGAATGCAAGAATAGAAGCAGAGAGGCTGGTTATGAGGCTTATAGTAATATAGGGAAGAGGGTTGGGAAATATGTTTTGAAGATAGAGTTGATATGTTAATGGATTGGATATGTGGGGTGAGAGAAAGGAATTAAATAGGACTGTTAGGCTGTTACTTTCTTTTTTTCCTTTTCAGCAAGCAGGTGCATGGAGGTTTACATTTTCTGTGATGGTCAACACTCAGGGTAGGACAGGGTTTGTGGGAAAAGAGTTGTTACGCCTGTTCAGATAGAGGTAACATTGGGTAGTTGAATACAGTAGTTTGGAGTTGGAGGAAATCATGGTTAGAGATAGATTTAAGAGTTATCATCATATAGATGGTCAAGTCTGAATGAAATCATCTAGGCTGTGGTAAAAGAAGAGAAGAGGTCAGAGAAAAGAACAATAATGGAGCAATGGAGAAGGAGCCAAAAAAGGACACTGAGAAGGAATAGCTGGTGAGAAAGAAAGAAAATTGGGGAATAAGGTGTCCCAGATGTTAAGTGAAGAAAGTGCTTTAATTGTGTTGGGGTCAAGTAAGCTAAGAATGTAGAATTCATTGGTGAATTTTATGGGTACAATCTCTAGAGGGTGGGGCAGTCAAAATAGGTTGGCGAGCATAAATGAGGTGGTGATGACAATAGATGTCACATTGAGGAGGTTTTGCTTCATAGGAGGATAGAGAGATAGTCAAGGAAGGGTAGTTTATAAAGAGATACATACTGGGGAAATTTTTGTTGTTAATTAACTAATTAATTAAATGACTGGGTAGGAAGAGAGAGATTGATGATGCAGGGGAGGTGAGGAAAACCCGGAAGGTAAGAGGACTTGGGATCAGGGACCGCAGAGAGAATGTGCATGGACACTAGTAGGTAGTTGACTTGGAGGTGGGAATACAAGGGAGGGCTGACAGTCTGTTTCTGTTTTTTGAGCAAATATAGACATGGTCATGAGCTAGAGAGAGAGGCTTTGGGAAGGATGAGCAGACTATGAATAGAGAAGGTAGACACAGTAAGCAGGTGTGGGTTTGCCAGGCAGTATTGAGTGCCCACAGGAGATTTGTGGTCATGAAAAAGTGAGATCAGTCAGCCCATTTATGTGTTTTTCTTGATCAGTGTTCAGCTGCTTGGGTGCAGGCCTATAGTACATGGTAGTTGTATTTAAGCAGGGTTGAGGGAGAGTGGAGTAGGGAGTTATAGAGGTTTACAAAGAAGAGATGATGTTGATGACCTTGGAATCCAGTGTAAGTAGAGGAACAATGAGGACAAGAGGGTGATGATGGTGAAAAAATGGGAGGTTAAGTTCCCTGAGATCAGAAACTGAACTGACACCTGAATCTTCCAAGGCCCCAACTCCCAGTTCTAGGCACTTTCTGTTAGTGTTACCTATAGTATACTTAAGAAAATAGATTTTTTCAGTTGAGGTAGTAATAGCTAGTAACTGCTTTTTTTGAGGATTTACTAAGAGCTGAGTGCTAAACAAGTATTAATCACATTATGTACTGAGACAACCCACCCTGCGAGGTAGGTAGCACTATCTCTGTTTTACAGATGAGGAAACTGAGGCTTAGGCCAAATAACTTGCCCAGAGTCACACAGTTAAGTGAGTGGGAGAGCCAGTGCTTGAACCACTTATGCTCTGCTGTGAAGAGTAAGTTCTTAACCATTGTCCTGTACGACTGCTCTAAGTCATTGGAATACTTGAGATATGGAGGACTTATTTATCCTTTAAAATGTACCATGTTAAATTACATCTAGATTAATTTGATCTTTTTCCTTAGAACTGGGACTGGAAAATTCAAATATTTGTTGAAGTTTGAAGTTAAATAAAATGAGTAAAAGCCAGGGTAGGGACTTGGAAAACCAGAAAATATCTGCCTCGTTTAATGAAAATAGGCAGTACTTGGTTTCAGTCAATTTTGTGGCCCCAGGGTGGCCAGATCTTCCCATTTCTCAAGTGAGCCTGGAGATCTGCATTTTTTTGAGTTAAGACTTTGAATATTTAAATATTGGCAACTAATTTATATTTAAAAAATCACTGAGCAGGTCAAACAAAACCAGCCTGCAGGCCTCTTTGGCCCCCTGGTAACCCAAGTATGACCTCTGCTTTAAAATATAATTTGTTTCCAAGAGTAGTGAATAAGTAATTTTCATATCAAAAATTTTAAGTAGGCCAGGTACAGAGGACTGAGTTTTGTATTCAAATACAGGTCATGCAATACAGTCAGACATGGAATTAACAGTGGCACTAAATAAAAAATATTGATAATAACAGTTAAAATAGAATAAAATAAAAATAATAACAGCTAAAACATAGGGAGTTGGGTCATATAGAAAAGTAGGTAGGAATGGAAGTTAGAAAATCTCGCTGTTAAACGGTAGTCCTTGCCAGTAAAAACAGCTATTTTGGCTGTAGTGAAATAGCCCAGGGCTCAAGGGGTGGGGGATGGGAGGGGTGGGTTGGGGTAGGGTGCCTAGTCCATGCTCTGTCAGTCCTGCTTTCTTTGAGTTTTATTCGGGTTCTTTACATCTCTAAATTTGTGTCTGGGTTCATCCCACAAAGGGGCATTGTGAAAACATTGCAAGATAGCTGAAGGCCTTGAGAAAAAAGTGAAATTTTTTTTCTGTAGAAAAGTGAAATCATTTTCTGACCAGTTGGTAATTTAAAAGCTAAGCGTATACCAGTAAAACAACGTTTGGGGGTAAGAGACAGAAGAGGTTTTATCTACATTTTATGCAAGTATAGCTGTTATTCTGGTATCTCTTAACCTTCAAGATGTCTACTCTGTACCTATTATGACATTTATTTTAAAAAAAAACTTCTATTTTCAGTTGGATGGATTTATTGCTCGAAACTGGGCCAATCAAAAATCAGCTTTGGGAAGTGCTCTTGATCCACTTGCTGATAAAATACTTATCAGTATTTTATATGTTAGCTTGACCTATGCAGATCTTATTCCAGGTAAGAACGCCGTCATGCGTACTTTTAAATAGTACAGGGAAGAATCACATTTATCAGCTTAGGATTTCTCTTGATTGAGAGACAAATAATTTTTGTTTCAAAAATATGTTTTCAACTTTAAAGTGTTTCCCTAAATTTAAACTATTGAACTGTTTTGCTTTCCAAGCTGTTTGTTTTACTTTAGAATTTATGACCTTGTATATACTATAGAATGCATTGTTTTCTTAGTAAAATTGTTTAAAATTAAATATTTCAAAAAAATTGAGCTAATTCATATTATCCTAGAATCTTTTGAAATTATTATTTTCTTAGTGCCTAGCTTTTGAAAGCAATTTAAAATTTTTCCTAAGTCTTATTATTTATTAAGTACAATTTAATAAGTGAGAGCTCTGAAATCCTAAAGATGTCTATAAAATTTCACATTGTTATTATTACTTAGATGGTATTACGCAATTTTAAATTATACACGTAGTTTGTACATTGTCTGAATACTCTTTTTTTAGTTAATTATTTTTGGCTGCGTTGGGTCTTTGTTGCTGTGCGTGGGCTTTCTCTAGTTGTGAGCGGGGGCTACTCTTTGTTGTGGTGTGCAGGCTTCTCATTGCAGTGGCTTCTCTTGTTGGGAGCATGGGCTCTAGGTGCACGGCCTTCAGTAGTTGTGGCTCGTGGGCTCTAGAGTGCAGGCTCAGTAGTTGTGGTGCACGGGCTTAGTTGCTCCGTGGCACATGGGATCTTCCCGACCAGGGCTCGAACCCGTGTCCCCTGCATTGCCAGGCGGATTCTCAACCACTGCACCACCGGGGAAGCCCCTGAATACTCTTTGTAACAAAATTTTATGATCTTTTGTATTTTGTATGTGCTTTTTTGGTTGTTCATTTTCTACTTCAGCTGTGTTTCTCAGTTTTTAATCCTTTGGTTCAGATTAAACTGTTTATTTCCAAGAGTTAGAATCTGAGAACAAAGAAGCTGGTACTTGGTCCTTCAATACCATGTTATTACTGACATTTGATAGGAAGAAGTTTACTGGCGTTTCAGTCTAGTATAGTCTCCCAGTCTAGAGATTCTTTTTCTCCTCTACCTTTAGGCTTTTTAAAAAAAAATAAATTTATTTATTTATTTTTATTTTTGGCTGCGTTGGGTCTTCATTGCTGTGCACGGGCTTTCTCTAGATGCAGCGAGCGGGGGCTACTACTCTTCGTTGCAGTGTGGGGGCTTCTCATTGCGGTGGCTTCTCTAGAGCGCAGGCTTAGTAGTTGTGGCGCATGGGCTTAGTTGCTCCACGGCATGTGGGATCTTCCCTGACCAGGGCTCAAACCCTTGTCCCCTGCATTGGCAAGTGGATTCTTTTTTTTTTTTTTAAACATCTTTATTGGAGTATAATTGTTTTACAATGTTGTGTTAGTTTCTGCTGTATAACAAAATGAAACAGCTATATGTATACATATATCTCCATATCCCTCCCCACTTGTGTCTTCCCGGACCGGGGCACGAACCCGTGTCCCCTGCATTGGCAGGCGGACTCTCAACCACTGCGCCACCAGGGAAGCCCTGGCAAGCGGATTCTTAACCACTGCGCCACCAGGGAAGTCCCTACCTTTAGTCTTTTAAATCCACATACCAAATTTAAAAATGAATTAGACTACTGTTCATGTGCTTCTTTGAAAGTCAGAATTATGGTGTGTGTATGGTTGGGGGTATTGAAGGGGCAGGGGTATGCTATAAGTAATATAGATAATTTGTAGGAGAAAAGATCCTAAGGAGCTTTCTGTTAACATTCACAATTAAAATTAGTGTGTGTGTGTGTGTGTGTGTGTGTGTGTGTGTATTTTCATGCTTCCCATTTTTCAGAGTTATTTTGTATTTTGTTGTATTGTTTTACAAAGGTTGACCAGCCCAGGTATTTCCCTGTTGAACACAGAAATTGTTTCCAGGTTTTGGTATTATGGATATTGTTGATACAATTGATGTAGGTCGCTTTTGGAACTGCAGCTTCCCTTCATTATCATTCTGGGAACTTCCATTTTCTCTCTTCTGTGTTGGGTTTGTTTTTCCAGGCTTCCATGACTTCCTTGTTAGGGTCCTCCTTTTTGTGGAGTAGAATCTCCAGTTGTTTCCTATGCTAGTATGCAGCCTGGCAGCAAGGTTTTTAGAGGTGTACAATGTCTTTATTCTATAGACATCTAAAATGTATTTGTTCTACCCTCCATACTTGATTGGGGCATAATTTTCAATTGCAGGTTATTTTCACTAAGAATTTTCAAGACCCTGATTATAGATTTCCAGATTCCATCTTGCTGTTGAGAAGTCTCATGCCATTCTGATACCTTTTCCTTTACGTGTGATTATGCTTTGTATTAGAAAGCTTTTAAGATTTCTTTGCATAATTCCTAGTTGATGGTTTAAAAAATTCTCTCTCTTAAAAGTTAATTTTCTAACTGCTTCTTGGGACACCCAATTATCCCAGCACTTTTTATTGAAAATTCTATACTTTCCAGACTCATTGCCATGTGCATATATACATGGGTCCATTTCTGGGTTGTCTAGTTTATTCCCCATTGATTTGTCTATTTTTGCACCAGTACCATCCCTAATTATTATTACTTTGCCAAAAGTCTTTTTTTTTAAATTTATTTTATTAATTATTTATTTATTTTTGGTTGCGTTGGGTCTTTGTTGCTGTGTGCGGGCTTTCTCTAGTTGCGGCGAGCGCAGGCTACTCTTCGTTGTGGTGCGCAGGCTTCTCGTTGCAGTGGTTTCACTTGTTGCAGAGCACGGGCTCTAGATGCACGGGCTTCAGTAGTTGTGGCACGTGGGCTCATTAGTTGTGGCTCGTGGGCTCTAGAGCGCAGGCTTAGTAGTTGTGGCGCACGGGCTTAGTTGCTCAGCTGCACTTGGGATCTTCCCAGATGAGGGCTCGAACCCATGTCCCCTGCATTGGCAGGTGGATTCTTAACCACTGTGCCACCAGGCAAGTCCCCCAAAAGTCTTGATACATGATAGAGCACATTCTTCCACCTTGATATTCTTACCGGTTTTCATTTGTGTGTGAATTTTAGAATCAGCTTTCAAGTTCCCCAGAAAAACCTGTTGGGATTTTATTGGGGTTGCACTGAATTTACAGATTTATTTGGAAGAATTGGTATTTTTACAGTATTATCTTCCAGTCCACATACATGTTGTATTTACTCTATTTAGGTCTGTTAAAATGTCAAAATGTTACAGTTTTCTCTAGAGAGGTAATAAAACTTTTTTATTAGATTTATTCCTAGGTGACTGATAGTTCTTGATGCTTTTGTAGATGGTAACTTTTTTAATATTTCATTTTGTAGTAGCTGATGTTGATAGGATGAAATCAGTTCCATCTCTGACAGTGATTTTTGTATCTTGCAAAACTTGCTGAACTCTTATGCTAATAATATAAATGTATATTCTCTTGGATTTTCTGTATCCTTGATTATGTATTATCTATAATTAATGACAGTGTGTTTCTTCTTCTCCAGTCCTTTTACCTTTTTAAAAATTTGCCTCACAATAGTGCACAGTGCACTGTTGAATAGGAGTGGTATCTGTGTCTTATTTCCAGTCTAAGAAGGAAAGTTTTCAGTCTTTCAGTATTAAATATGACATTTCCTGTAGGGTTTTGTAGATACCCCTTTTTCAGGTTAAAAAAGTTCATTTCTACTGGCAGTTTGTGCAGAAATTTTTTTACATTGGATATTGAATTTTATGAAAATTTTTTTCTTCATGTATTATGGTAGTCATATTTTTTCCCTTTAAACTTAATGTGTGGTGAATTACGTTACTGATTTTCTAAGTTAAATCAACCTGATGACATTCCTGTTACAAATCTAACTTAGTCATGATATATTATGAAGATATTGCTGTATTTGGTTTACTGATATTTTGTTGAAGATTTCACATCTAGATTCAGAAGATTGGCCTGGAATTCTTTTCTACAAATACCCTTGTTAGGTTTTTCTTTTTTTTAATATTTATTTATTTGGCTGCGCTGGGTCTTAGTTGCAGCATGCGGAATCTTTAGTTGTGGCATATGAATTCTTAGTTGCACCATGTGGGATCTTGTTTCCTGACTAGGGATCGAACCCAGGCCCCCTGCATTGGGAGCGTGGAGTCTTAGCCACTGGACCACCAAGGAAGTCCCCTACCTTTGTTAGGTTTTAATATCAAGTTTATAATAATCTCATAAAATGAATTTAGGGAGTGCACACACACACACACCCCTATTCTTGGGAGATGTTTGTGTGAGATTGCAATTATTCCTTCTTGGAATGTTGGTAGAACTTGTTGAAGCCATTGAAGCCTGGAGTTTTCTTTGGGAAAAAGTTTTAAAATAGTTGATTCATTTTTTTAAAAAATGGTTACAGGGTGATTCAGTTTTTCTGGTTCTTCTTTTGTCTGTTTTGTGAGTTGTGATGTTTTTCTAGGAACTTGTCCATTTCAGCTACATTTAAAAAAAAATTACCATAAGCTATTTTTAGTATCCACATTAACGTTTTGATGTCTGTAGGCTATGTAACAATGTCCCCCTTTTCATCCTAATTATTAGTTATTTGTCCCTTTTTTTTCTTTGACTTGTCTTGCCAGAGGTTTGTCTGTTTTATGAATCTTTTCAAAGAACCAACTTTGAACTTTGTCAAACTTCTCTGATATGTTTACTACTTCATTAAATCTTGCTCTTTTATTTCTGTCTCCTCCTTTGGTTTTTCTCTGCTGTTCTTTTTCTAAATTCTATGGATCAGTCCTGTCTAGTAGAAATATAATGGGAACCATAGATCTAATTTAAATTTTTCTAGTAGTTATGTTCAAAGTGAGAAGAAACAGGTGAAGTGTGTGTGTGTGCTTGCACTTCTGCTACAGTGGAGACTGAGTGCTTTGTGCATGCACTGCTGCCTGTGCCAGGCCACCCCCCATTTTAATAACATTTTATTTAACCCACTAGATGGAAAATATTGTCATTTCATTATATAATCAATAAAAAA